TACTTTTAAATTGACTCAATAAAATTGATTTTAATTGCGTATTTCCATATACACATTTTTTTTATTCAATTACATTTACCTTTGATAATGCAAACTGTAGATGAATATTATAGATATACCACTATCAAATAAAAAGGAACTGAATGTAATTTTTCTTATGATTTTCATTTACAAGAATTTTTTTTCGAATAAAATTGAATAAAAGTCATATTTAACGGATATTGATTAATCCTCATATATATGGTTAAAAAAGCGAACCTACGTCAAATGATAAAACCAATCCTTATTTGGGCATAGAAACGCCTTTTTGTGGGTCAATTGCCTTATATGGTGACGAAATCGCGAAATCAAATTTTCAAATTTGAAAAAAGTTGTCCTGTCATGAAAAAAATACGTCATCAAGTATCAAATTGAGTAATAATTAATTAATTTGCTCATTTTGATAATAAATTAATAAACTTTGAATCTGGCGATTCGAATTTTAAGAAAAAGTTAAACGAAAATAGGGACAAAATAAAAATATATAAGAACAGATGGATTTTTTGGCTGAAAGGAAATTATACCGTCGAGTAAACTTTTAAACTGCATTTTAAAATTAGATTTGTCGTCGGAATAGAATGAAGCGGAGGCAATTTGAAAAAATAGCTAAACTAATGACAATGCTTTCGGTGTATTAAAAAGTTGAAGAACTTTTTAAAAGAGAAGCATTTTGCCTCGCATAAATAAATAGTGTTGAGAAGTTATCGTCGTTCGCGAAACCGGAAACCGTTCAGGCCGAGCAAGCGACTTCCGGTTTCGCATTTGTCCATGGAAGAGAAGCGTTTAAAGAGGACGGAATCGGAAAACGCGAATTTCACACAGTGTGGGAGGGATTCAATTGAAAATGGGTCCGAAACGTAGAGCCTTGTTTTATTTTCCACACGTAATCCGATCAAAAAGTTTTGTAAACCGTTTCCGCTTTGGGGATGCCCCCTGACCCATTGTAGCAAAGCATTCGGCAATCATCGTCCAAACACGCACCGGTATTGCATAATTCCGTTTAAAGCGGATGTTATTTATTCTTTTTTTTTGCAAGGCCGTAAATAAAGATGAACGCCTTAAGAGATGAATTTATATTCATTCACAAGGCGCAACTGAAGGGAGAGTTTATCCACGTGTTTAAGGACACAAAGATTTGTTTTTGTTTAAGACAGACGTAAAAATAAAACAACAAAATACATTAAATCCACGTGTGTAATTTACGTAATCGAAAATTGTGTAGGAAGTCTCCATCAGAAAGTCTGGGCACTTAAACTGTTGAAAGTGTCATGCAATTTTTAAATGCTTCGGTTCGGGCCTTTGCTTGCTCTGCTCAGATTCCTGCCTGAAATGAATTACAGTTTCAGAATTAAATTTATTACGAGCACAAACTCCGTTTAAACGCTTTTATGTTACCTGACTTTTTACCGAACTTCGCGAAAAAATACGATGTGCTTTTTTTTGCGCGGCTGATAGTTCTCTAACTTCGGCTTTCCTAAAACCCTGTATTTCCATTTTTTGCTTTTACATTGAACTCCATATAAATTACACGACCCACCGAAATATACCCTCCATTGTACTCACAATATGTGATATTTTACTGATCACAATTCCATTTCACAAAACGTGTTTATTTATTTGTTTTTTAAAAAAAATCTGCTTTTTTACATAAAAGTATTGAAAATATGGATTTGCGTAAAACCATTGCATTTTATTTAACTTACTTTTATATTTAAACAAATTTATCTACTGTTTTTACTTATTTAAGGTTCAAAATAATTATTTATGATTAAATATTATTTATAAAATATATTTTAGTATGAATTTTGTAAATTATTATAAAAATATTTTGTATAATTTGTTATAAATATTTGATTACAACAAATTTCCATGTAACATACAATTTCTCAAAATATTTCACAAAAACGTAAACTATATATAAATTTTATTAAATGAAAAAGGTAAAATGTAAGCACGTAAAAGCGAAAATAAATGAACTTTTCTATTTAGAGTATTTTTTTGCTGATCGTAATCCCGTTTCATAAAACGTATCAATTTGCTTAAAAAAAATAATCTAGTTTTGATACATAAATGGGATTCGTTTCCAATCTAATTGATATTTATTAATGAATACACGTGTTTATTGATTAGTGAAAATAGTATTGCAGTTTGACTGACATGTTAAAATTTTACTAATTACAAACGTCTATGTCCATTGATTGAATTGTTCCAGTTGAATAATCAGCTAGAACGCAACACAAATATGTTTCTATTCACAAAATAGTTGAATAACCTTGAAAATACAAATTAACCTTTTTATTCATAAAATCATGATTATATAATTATTTAATTTAATAATTATATAATTTAAATAGTAAACTTTTCTAAAACTTCGAATACAATTTTTTAATACACTGTTTTAAATCTTGAATATATCAATTTATTTGCTTTGTTCCAGGATTTTGTCGATTTATTCGCGTGAAAAGTGATTTTTTGATCATTTTACTCGGAATCATGTAAAAAAATAAACGTCTGTACGTCATTTATAAGTTTCCTGTATCGAACGTTCATTTAAAGTGAAGGGAAAGTACGAAATCTCGTCGAATGCAAATCCATTTCTGATACAAGGAAGAGGTGCGAAAGTAACTGCGACGTAAGCGGAAACGGCAAGATTATTCTCTATCCAGGAATTAATTGAATTTCCGCAATGAGACGACTTAAACAAGCGAAAATTCACTCTTAACTGGAAGATTACTTCCACAACCTCCCACAAAATTTTACAAAATTTCTTTATTTCTTTCATGTTGAAAATTATGATTGCCCAAAAAATAAAAATTAGTTTTATTTTACAAAAAAAATAAATTTTCATTCAATAAGAAAATCTAATCTTTATTTTATAAATTCAATTTAAACTTCAAACAGATTTTTTTGTTATTATTATTTTAATAAATATATTTGCTTTCCGTACGAATATTAAATAAAGGTGTTTTACAAAGGCAATATCACATATTTCACTACGCTTGATTTATTTAGGTTCTTTGTAAGTTCTCGGTCCGTTATTTAGTCTCTTTTTTTTCGAAGTAGCAGAACAATTGTTGTAATTTGTCGGCGCTAAAGATAAATATTGTTTGAGCGTTTAAAAATATACAGAAATGTTTACATTGGACCGAAACAAATTAGGGCAGTGTAAATTAATTATACAAAACCATTTTTTTTATCCTCACGTCTTTTTTCTCTCTCATATAAACTTGTTTGTATATTCAAAAATTATTAATCGACCCGGTATGTCCATATACACTTATTCCGATGTTTAAGTACAGTATGAAAGAAAAACTATGTCCCATCAATAATTTTATAATAAATATGGTAAAGTAATTTCATAAATGGTAAAGTTATATATTATAAAAACCAGTACTCGTTTGGCGTCTGATGGGATATTTTACAGTTAATCATTTGACGCATTTGACTTCAAATAAACTAATTAGAAATTATTTAAATTATTAAATTTTAAGCTGAGAATGAAAAGATCAAAATAATTTTATCAATATTTTTCTTGTGATATTTTAAGAGTAAAATGAATTAATACTTGAATGAATTTACTTTATAATTGTTGATTTTTATTGAATTTATTTAAAAAAGTTTGAAAGAATTGAATGAATGAAAATAAATTTGACAAAAAAAGTATATTTTACGAGTGCGAAGGAATGCAGTAAAAAAAAATCGCAGTCGTCTTCTATTTCTCAGAAATACACACTATTTATTTATGAATGAACTGGAATGAAACGTAGTAAAAAGATGTGAAGAAAATTCCGATCTCTGGTCTAGACGATAAGACAAAAATAATTTATTCTAAATAACATGGAAGACAAATTTGAATAGAACTGCATGCATTATTTCTATGTCTGGCCTATTTATTTCAATGAAATCGTTTCATTTTCTTTACACAAATTACGTAATGTGATTGCAAAAGTAACAAGTCAAGTGATAATTAAATTAATGATTAAAAAGTGGTAACATTTTGGATTAATACGGTTAATATATTCTATTAGTATTTATTGAAAATGTATGCTTCATAATGTAAAAATAACATTTATTTTCTCAAAAAAAAAGTTTTGTATTTTAACACAGATTAAATATCAAAATACTGTGAAATAAAAATAATAAAAAATAAAAGTAGTGCGAATTAAAACAATTTTAAAAGTTATTTTTAAAGCGCAACAAAAGTTCGAAATATTTCCGCAAATTAAGTTTTTACACAGTTTTCATAAATTTTAATAAGTAAATATTAGTGAGAAATACAAATGTGCAATTTTAAACTAGATTTAAAAGTTTCATATTTTGCGCGTTGACAGTTTGAAATTCTTACAAATTGCTTAAATCGAGTTTTTCGAAATAGAATTGTCAATAAATAATATATAAAAATATATTTAGAAGTATCAAATTTCCAAAAATATTTTTGAAATTTGCGTTAAAAATTCGAATTATATCTAATTTCCCAAAACAAATTTGAACAAGTTTGAAATATTAAAATATTTAGTTTAAAACAAAAAAGAGAGAAATAAGAAAATACTTAGTTTGAAGTGAAAATAATTAAAGATCAAAATATTTAGGATGAAATAAAAAGTATTCACTATGTGTGAAAGTTGCATATTTTGCGCGTTTAAAGTTTGAAATACTTACGAGTTGTATGTAATTTTCGAAAGCAAGTTTTGCATAGTTTTAACTGTAGTTTCGCAAGTGATTTTTTTTATTAAAGAAAAATATTAAGTGAAAAAAAAAACATTTTTAAAGAAAACTCGTATAAATGTTCGTAATAGTGGTTTATTCAATTTTCTGTTAATTGTTGAACTTAGTTTTGAAACAAAGTTGCGGCTACAACAAAGTTTCCAGTTTGTGCTATTAAAAATAAAATACTCATATTTGTGTGCATTTAGGATAAAAAAAAATACAAATATTATGTGATAAATGTTTTTTGAACTTACTTGGTGGATGATGCGAAGAAGTTGCACGATGGTCCTGGTACGTATTTCTGTCGCACACTACGTTCGGCTTTGAGGGTTGCCGTCCCGATCGTAACGAGGGGTGGTTTTGTACTGAAGGAAGACCGCGTGCCGACACTCGGTGGGGGCCGCGACCGTGGCCGAACCGGGCAGCGAGCCTGTGGGAGCGGCGTCGGCCCACACCACGCCTCCAAACACTGAAACAAATGCGACGTGAAGTGAAGTAACTGTTGCTTTCCCGGGACCCCAGAAAACGGGATGCCTCCCTCACGGAAATCTGCACAGGAATGCAATTTCATCAAGAGCACAGAACGCAGGAGTGTTTTCTCAGTGCGGATCACAAGGCTCGGCCACACGGAAAACAAAGTTATAAGTCGTGGTTGCGCTTTCATTACACACACGTACGCATATCCACACACACACATACACACACACGAATATATACATACGCACACCCATCTACGGTGAATGTGAACAACGTATCAGCATATAAAAAAAGAAGGATGGAAACCGCACATACGCATACACACACATGGTTAGTTGCAAGGGATGGAATGGAACGGGAAAACCGCCGTGCAGAAAAATACCCGTTTGAGTTGCGATTCCGCGCGGAGTTGCCCTCGCGCGATCCCTTTTTGCGAACCTTTATTCCCTAAATGCAGAAATTACATTAGGGGTAAGTTCGTCCCTTTCAATGTACGAGCGAACGGGCCCGACTTTTCCCCGCTCTCCCCCGATTGCCTCGCTTTGCCCATCACTAACAAACCAAGATTAACTCGGTCTTCTCTTCGAGAGCACTTTCTGAGACAACGGTTTGCACCATACATCCTTTCTACAAATAATATTCGACAGGTATCAATTTAGATTTTTCATTAAAAAAAATATCTGACAATTTAAAATATTAAATATGAAAATTTAAAATTACTTAAATTTGACAGTTTATTTTTTTTAATTTGACATGGTTTTATTAAATTTAAGGGTTTACCCTTTGCGGCGAATATTTTCTCCCTATCCTATACACTTAGCTTATGCTCAATATCACTGTGGTGGTGCAATCATCGAATCTTAGTTCTAAGTTTATTCTCTTTTTTTGCAACTAGTGTAAAATCTATACGAAGTTTATTAGAATACTAATTTTGTCTATTAATAAATTTTCTAAAACTTAACTTTTTGACTTATCTAGTTATTTGTTTAAATCATATACATTTCTAATCTATTGCTTATTGAGAAACATAATAATATAATAAAAGTTAATAAATGTTGTTATGTGGGGGAGAAGAAATCGTTTTTCGTTGTTCAAGTTTTGCCTGTTCATGTATGTTCAGTATTATAGAGACACGGCAATTCGTTCTGTAATATAAAAATATTTTTATTTTATAAAAATATTTTCGGGCATATCCAGCATACAGGAATTCTTCAAGGCAAATTGCATTCAATATTGTATAAAATATAATATCTTTGTCTTTTGTGGGATCAATGTGAAGTGTGCGCTTTGGGGATGCTTCGAGTACTATTCCAACATCAACATAAATGATCTACATTTCAGATTTTCATTCATTTCAACAATTTTTAGTTTTTTTTTTTTTAATTTATTAAATATGATTTTTTCGAATTTTCCTTCGTACTGTCACTGCCTGCTATGAACCTGCTGGATGTCTCACCTTTCCTACACACTCTTCGTACTGTCATCGAGTCGCCTGCTACGAGCTGTAGAAATTGAAAAAAAAGTGAATAGGATTTTCTTAAAAACATTTACATGGGTTTTTAAAAATATCGTTAGGTTAGATTTGACATTAGAATATAAAAATAGTTTTAATTTAATGTGTAAATAAAGAAAATAATGCAAAAATAATAAATTTCCAATTTGTTTTTTAAATTTTCATCATTTATAAAAAAAATAGTGAAAAATTATATTTTGTAATTATGATGTGTATTATATTATAAGTAAGTTAATTATCATTACTTATAATTATCTAATTAGAAATACGTACATACGTCTCATTGAGTGGTAGTCTCTTTTTTGTAATAATCTTAATTGGTTGTAATAAATACGATTCTCTGGAAAGTTTGTATATCCAGTTTATATATGTTTGTGTATGCGTTTGTGAGACTTTGGCTTTGTGTGAAAATGAGCAAGAGGCATGGAATGCACGAGAGTGAGAGAGCTGGCGAGAAGAATGGAGGGTGGAAATAAAATAGCTTTAGAGAAAGAGAAAATTGTTATTCCTGTGGCGGTAAAATCGTTCGTAATTCATATGCATATTTATAGCCGTATGCGTAGGTACGGGAGGCTGTGGTTGTGACTGCAAGCGAGGGCGGCAGTGGATCGGCGGAAGAGCGCGAAGGGCGGAAGGGTGGCTGGCTACGGGCCGCAATTGGAATACAATGGCCCTGGGCCTCGGGTCGGTTTTCCGCCCATTGCATGGCCCTCACCGACAACACCAATCTTGAAGTCTGTGTGCGGGTAATGGTTTACATACAACATTTATGCCTCGCCCGTCATAGAGCTGCTAGTTTTCCATGATCGTAAAATATACCGTATTTCTTCTTTATATGATTACGGCCCCATAAAGGACTCGGTTACAAATTTATTTATAAGGGCGCGTGTGTCTGCGCAGGGGTTTCTATCAGAGAGAGAGCATGGGCCAAACCAAGGGACTAAGGGATTAAATGTGGTCTGGCTGAGTGCGATAGAGACCCGCTGAGTTATGACCCCGAGGTGTTGGACCCGCGATCATCTTTGATTGTTATTTCTTCGCTTTCCAAAAAAAATCTATAAAAAAACAGAATTGCTCGACCTAAATAGATAAATCCATATACTATTAATAATACCTATGTATAACTTCTTTATAAATCATTATTTTAATACATATATAAAACAACTTCTTCCACTACTTTGACCTAGTATATAATTAATATTACACTCTTTATAATATATAATTATTATAATAAATAAGACTTTTTGTTTGTTTTTCTTTTGATTATTAAATATGGATATTTTTTTATAGATAATAATGAAAACTAAGGTATATACATTGTTTTGATACAGCATTATGTATCCAAACAGTTTTTCCTTTAATTAATTCCTGTCTCGCTGAATTTCTCTGCTGCGAGAAAATGGAGGGATAAATAATGAATAATCAATGAAAATGCAATAAAATAGAAAAGTAATCCTGTGTGCGCCTTAATATCCTGCAAGGATGTAATTATATTTTGAATGGAAAGAAAGCTAATATTTGAAATTGCTGACATGGCTAACTATGTGAGGTATCTGTTTGATGCAAGCTAGTATTCTTGCAATTTTAGTTAAGGGTTAATAATAAGCTGCGCGTGTACATTTTTGTTTTGCTCCTATTCCTTTTTTCCCCTTGCTCATCGTCTTCCTCAATCTCGCAGTGGCGTGTTTATACTGTTTTATTTTATACACCCTACGTTGTTGGGCAGCTCGCTTGTATTAAATCGGAAGGAATTCTTGCAGATTTAGGGGAGGGTGGGAATGGGCGACTTGAGGCCGTTTTCTAATTGCTGGAAGCGGCATTTCGCCCTTCGATGTTTAATAACTCGATACCCCTGCCGTTCGCCTCTGACATTATTCTTCGTTGGAGCCATTAGCATAATGCAATGGCCCCTATTAGCGTTGACAAGGCCATAATAAACAGATCCTTTATATGTTATCGATGGTGGTGCGAACGCGAACAGGGCGCGACCTTTAAATGTCGCCCTTGTTTCAACATATAATGGAGTCCCAATATAAACCGGCCCAGGATTCTGGATGCGCTAGTCTGAAACAGTGACCGATACGTTATGATAGCACCACCTATATATATGTATACATTCCTGATACTGATCGGAAGGATAGGGATAGGGATTGGGTAGCGGACACCCTTCCTCGGAATATAAGAAAGTTCCGTACAGTTATTTCATTGCTATTCAGTGCACGGGCCGAAAATGGTGCCGGGGAAAGGGTGGGTCAGAGACCCTGTCATTCTTGTCTTTCCGCACTTCCATCGGTTTGCAGGACCTCTCCCGTCCGTGGCGCGCCATAAAAATGAGACAATTTATGGCCGCCATACAGGAAAATAATTAATCGACCCCGCAACATTTCATTCGATAGTTACAATAGATCCAGTCGGCTGACGAGCGATTTGACAAGGCCATAACATTGACGTTGGCACTCAATCTACCAGACCGACACTCTATCAAACCACGAGATCAGGTGCAGCCGGGCCAGCAGATCTCCCCCTCACCCCAAATGGACCATAACCCTTAACGCAACGCGCGCGCTTCCGTCGACGTTAAACTTGACCCAACTAATACGTGCATTATACACGCGATGAACGTGCTTGCTTCTGTCAATTATACCAATTATGCCTTTTCACATTTGCTTACAAAAATTAAACAACACATTTATTTGTGCATTTCCTCTCAACATCTCTTCACACATCAAATAAACTAAATTAAACAATATTGTTATTTACTTTCAACTAGGTTTGTCGGCTTTGGGACATCGATTTATTTGAAGAAATTTATAAAATTTGACTAAAAATATTAAAATTAATTAATTATTTAGTTATTATTTTAAATTTTATATAAAGTTAAATAAAAAGAAAATAAGTTGGTGAAAATCCTTTTGTTTCTATATTTTGATTTATTTAAAATTATTTCTTCATTATTTAAAACTCGAACTATTAAAAAAAAAGTTATAAATTCAAGTGACAAACTGAAGTAAATTGTACGAAAAGTGTAGTTTTTTATTCTATACAACCAGATGATCTGGTTGCATAAGCCACAAGCGTAGTTAATTAATTAAAAGCAAAACCGCGCAAATAAACATCCAATTTACAAATTGGCATATCACTGCACAGAGGGCAACAAATTCATCGCAATATTTTGCATTGCACGTGATAAACGCAATTCATGACTTTAACCGCAGATCCTCCAGATTGCCTTTGTTTATTCTCCATTCGCCATTACTAGCATCTCGTTTATAGTACAGATAGTAATAAAAACGAAACGAAAAAAAAAACACTACATAAACACGATGGCAAACGCTCATGTTCAACCCGCGCCAGCTTTTCAATTAAATTTATTTCAATTACTTGCCAAGTACCAAATTGCCCCTAACATTTCTTAAAGTTTGACAACGAATTACAACTAAATGACAAACGGTACAATAATATCAATAAATACATTTTGTAGAGTGAATATTTAGCTTTAATTTGGTTACTCAATAATGTATTTGTCGCACATACTTTTCCAGATATAAAATTAATCTTAATAGATGATAAAATTTTGATGGTAATAAGTTTTTCATTGTAATTATTGAAATTATAAATTTTGTTCATGAGTTTGAAATAGTCATTAAACAATGTTTTAAATGAACGACACTGTTCGCATTTTTCGAGTGAAAATAATAATAAAGGGAGAAAGGGAAAACTGATGGGCTAGCTGTAAGCACGACCAAGTCTTTGGACTAATTTTGGAGTGGATCAACGCCCTAATCCCTTGCAGGAAAGAAATGAGGGTGGCGGCGTGACTCCGCCGAACAAAATGAATTACGAAGTTTTGTTATTCCATCTGAGCAACCTCTAGTTCAGCGTTTCTAAACATTTTATTCTTTTTACATATAGAAAAAAGAACTTTTTTTTTTTCAAAGCACTTACATCTTTAGTACACCCATTTACACGGTAGATAGTTTTCTGAGAAAAATGTGTAATTCGAAATTGTAACATTTTTAATGTAAAATCGTGTAAATAGAAAAGTATGCAAAAACATTTATTTTTAAACCGTGAAAAAGAAAGTACCGTGTAAAACGAGGGATAGATTATTTTAAACATTTATTTTTTAATTTTTTAAACCGTGTAAAAGCGAAAACGTCTAAAAAGTACCGTGTAAAACAAGGAATGGGTCATTCATTTTTTTTTAACCGTGTAAAAACGAAAACGTGTAAAGAAAATATCTTGCTTAAAAAAAATACAGGTGGGTCTTATAATCCGAATTATTATTTGTGCATTTTACTAATGTCAATATATATAATTTATAGACAGACGTTTCTTATATACAGATACTTATAACATACAAGTGCATATATACATATGCGTCTTATACAGATATCTCTAATATACATATGCGTCTTATATAGCGAAATTTTTTATATACATTTTTTTTAATTACAAAAATATATTTTTTTTACTTAAAGGTTAAAACGTGCTCACCTACATGCATCGATATTTCTAAAACAAACACGAAAAAACTTTCCAGACACGGTTATTAATTTCAAGGTAAAAGAAACGATTCATTTATACTTTCGCTATAATTACGATGATATCAACTAAAATTTCAACAAAATTGCATTTTCAAGGATTTCTTCTTTTTCTTATTATTTGCAATTAAAACTGTGATATATAAATAAATACAATTTTGAGTTCCGCTATGATCGAAAAGTGTACCACAATAATATTTGCATATATTCAATTTGAAGTTTACAGTATTCCTTCCGATATTCACTTCTTCCCTTTACGTTTTGTAATTGATACAGAAAATATTATTCTGGCTTCACTTTTTATTACTTTTCCAAATTAGCTATAATATGTCAATACTTATATTAGTAAAAGATTATGATTAAAGTAACAATTAAATTAATAATATTTATTAAAAAAAATTAACAAAAACAATAAATTAATCAGAATGCATTTAAAAAATTACATAATTATATTATAATTTAAACAATTTGTATTAAATGTAAAAAAAATAACAGAAATATTTGTACACAAAGTTCAAATTGATTTTTTAGTTCTAACTATGTTCTAAATTGATGTACATATTTGTAACCTTAACGTATATATGACAAGGAGGAGCGGCTTAAAACTGTATAGAAAATTATGCGGTTTCTGCTCATTTACAAATTCATTCTTATTCACTTGGCAAACTTTAAAAGAACGTTGGCCTTAAAAAATAATTTTATATCATTCATGTAGCATGACTTCTAAGACATTTTAATTTACGAATTGGAACAAAATATTATCCTACATTTTTTTAAAATTAATTAACTTTTTTATACAAAAATAAATGTATTTAACACTAAACCTACCCACATTTCATGTATACCTATTGCAACCGTCAAATGATTGTTTCAACAAAAAAAAACATATATCTTAATATAGAATGAGATTCTAGTGAACAAAATATTTTCTTTTAATTAGAAACGTTTTATGTACTTTTTTATGCGTTTTCAGTGTATTTTTTACATTAAAATTGTATACAGGAAATTCTAAACGTAATTTAAAAAAACGCGCGTTGTTGGCTTGGTGTTAAATACAAAATTAGACGTTTTATATTATTAAATGGACAGAATTTTAGATCAATAAATAAATCATATTTTTAAATTATTTTTTATTTCAATAATATTAATAATATTATTAATTATATAAGTAGATTGTCAAAATGCGAATATTAATGAAGTTACATTTAGGAGTGAATACACTTTAAGATAATATTATTCTATTCAGGAAGTTTATGAGAAAATCCACCTGTTTTGGAAGTCTTAAAGATCTGCGTTGTAGATGATGGTTTGTAGAACAGAAGAGGATGAATGTAAATGGTAAGTTATTTGTTTACCGAGCGTCGAGGTACGGACCAAAAAATGTTATGAAATTATGCATGGCATTGGTATTCCGAGAAGCGGACTCAGGTATGGGCATAGAGGAGGTGTGGAGCGGGTCGGTGGGACAAGGAGAGGGAAAGTGAAACCGCGACCGTGGCTGTATACGGTCGTCCGGACCAGGTAAGTCGACGACGGTTAGTAACGGTGCGAGAGTCATACCAAGAGCCATACCTTACCTTACCTACCTACCTACCAACCGATACGACGGTGTAAGTGCGGTAATGCGGTAGTAATAATACAATAAACAACAACAGAAGAAGCAGCAGCAGACCACCGAATTAAAAAAAAACAAATAACAAAAGAAGAAGATGCCTAGGAAGTTATTGAAGTTCTTAATCCTGTTCGACAATACGTCCCTGCTGTACTTCCCGGGCCAGTTCCTGTCTGGCCGCGTACTCATCGAACTGCAGGATGACACACCCGCACTCGGTAAGAATATTAGATGAGCCCATCATATTCTTCGCCTCTGGCCTTCTTTGCGCCGTCCCCAGTGATACAACAAAACCGGGCACAACTCTATGTACACACTATGAAACCATTTCCATCCCGAATTGAATTACACTTTTAAAAAATTCAACTCCGAGGCGCGCTCCTGCCTCTTCCCACAATGGAACAGAACATTCCACAAGTAAAAAAGAGAAAAGAATAGAATAAAAAAATAAAACAACACACACACACGCCTTTGCTTTATGTAACTTCGAACGATGGTATTAGCAATAAAGCGAATTACGAAACCGTCGCGTTACGTCACCGAGAGAGCGAGCAATGGACGATTATGCTGCTTCTGCCTGCTGCACTTTCACGCTTCCATCTGAAATCTTCGCGTGCAGCCATTTAGGAGGGATCCCAATTGAATTTGCTAATTTCACAATTGGGGGGTTGTGTGCCACCAACCCCTACATCCGGAACGGCTTTGGCGCTCCGTGTTGCGAAATAGCTTCCCACGCCGGAGACAACCTACGCTAAATCGACCGCAGGATTCAAAGGAAACACCTTTAATCGTTCAATTTCAATACAAGTGCAACTCATTTAACACGATCGACATTGATTGTGTTCCCGCTCTTTGAAATCGCGCAAATTGTGCATGAACCTTTCTAACCTACCTGAAGGTTCGTATAAAAGGCTCTAGCTTAATTGAACATTCTGCATGCATGTATGTATCTGTTGCTGCATACACATGCACACTGCGTGGAGATGTTGGATAACACAGACGTCCCAGCGTTTGCAAGTATTTGTATATTAAATTATATATGGATTCGCGACGTGTCTCGTCGGAAAGAAAGAAAAATCCATACGCAATTTAATAAGTTTTTGGTAGTACAGGTAAAACGCGCTTTGTGGAATTCCTTTACAACTGCCGGTGTCATTCCTCGGAACCTAGATTATATGAATAACAACAGGCATCGCTGCTTTCTTTGCTTACAAGATTCATCGCCGTAATAGATTATTGATCCAAACCAATCCATTTTCTAAGACCAACTTTATATGTTTTTTGACTTTAATAAAAATAATATTTTTATTTGATAGTAGATTTTACAAAAAAAAAATAAAGAAACTTCACATGAACGAAATAAATAAAATAATTCCTGTCTCAAAACCTAGACTATATCAATAACAACAAGCATCATTTACTTTGCTACTAGATTCATAGATGTAATAGATTATTCATTATATATAAAGAATTAAGTATGCAGCAAAAAAAATCAAAACAGACTACAAAAGATATGAAAGTTAAGAAAGAAGAAAGTAAATTTTTCAGTAAATTAAATTATATAAATGACAACAAACATCACTTACTTTCCTCTAAGTTTTGTGGCTGTAATAGATTATTAATGCAAAGAATTTTTATAATTTCGGACAATTTTATGTTGAAATCAAAAGGTACAAATAATTGGTACAAATGAAAGGTGCAAAATGAAATATAAAATAAAAATTTGAAAATTCAGAAAAAAAAAACAAAATAAATAAAAGAAAGATTTATAAATTATTGATCTAAGGAAATCCATACTTTCGGACTAAATTTTGTTTTCAATAAAACCCCTAAAACAAGTGGGACCAAATGAAGGGTTGTGCACCAAAAAAAAAAAGTTATATAAAAAATAGAGAAGGAAATTAAACAAAGTTCACAAGAACAGAATAAATAAAAACCAGGCGGATGTAAATTTCCGCTTTTATCGCTCCCCCTAGCATTCCACCATTATTAACATCTTTGTGCGCGTCCGTGATGAATAAATTTATAAACCAATAATACCTGTCAACCATCAGGATGCAAGAGGGGGACAATATATATATAGAGAATAATGCCCGAAAATTTTATTAATTGGAGCGCGAAAAATGTTTGTTCGCGCAAATAAATTGCATAACGAGAAAAAGTAAGATAACTAAGTGATTTTTTTGTCGATATTGTAGTTGACAATAATGTTTATGTAATTGATATTGTGAAATTGATACAAGGTATAAAATGTATACATTTAGTAGACAATTTTAAATTAAAATTAAATTAAAGATTCTGCTTTCATTTTTTTGCAATTTACTTTAAAGTTTTTTTCTTTTAAAGAATGTGAAAGTGAGGGGTGTATTTAGATGTAATAAGGGATGTTAGTGGTTGCGGCTTTATTGATTATTTGTTTTAGATATTGTCATTAGTACAGCCCCTAATATAGGTTGACAAGTTTACGGGTATAAATTCATGCCAAGGGGAACATGACGTAAGTACTTTTAAGTGAAGTTTACGAGACCGTGTTGTTATGGGCTCCGGAATCGGATTAAAACACTGAAGAGTGGAGAAAAGTCCATCGCCTTATGTATTATAAGAATCTTCGGCAACAAACTACTCAGAAACAGCAGCACAAGAAAAATATACTAAATGAACCATAATTAATCAAACGTGATCTTTAATTACTACAAGAAAACAACTATTTGGACTAGTATATTTGGCCCAATTATCCAAAATTCCATATGTAATATTAGTATATAAAACAAGATTTGAAAAAGCTTATATAAATTTATAATCTATAAATTTATATCATCAATAATAAAGTAATAAAAAATAGAAATAATTGAATAAGTTTAACTAAAACGTTGTCCATGGAATATGTTGATATATTTGATTCGTATATAAATGTGCTGGACTGTATGGCAGCCTAATAAACGCAAAAGATCAAACGTTTTGAATCCCCTTTGAAATTTAGTTTGATTTAAATGCTAACATAATTGTAATAAAACCGCAATCTAAATTTCATTCATATAAATTATGTACTGGAATTAAGTTGTGTATGAGTTGTTTTATTTAAATATAGTTTTACATAAATATTTGAAAAGCATATTGGTTTATTTTTATTTATTTATTATAATGTAATTGAATAATTGGGGAATGTTATTTTAATGTTTTTTTCATTACTCAAAGTTGTTCGTTTCCCTCGTTTTAGACTGTCCTTTCTTTACACGTTTTCGTTTTTACAATATTTAAAAAAAATAAATGTTGAAAATAACCTATCCCTCATTTTACACGATATTTTTTTTACACGTTGTTGCTTTTACACGGTTTAAATAAAAATAAATTAAAACGAACATTTATGTACCTTAAAAAAAATCATATTATTCAACGAATGTATACGTTTTTTTTGCATACTTTAAATTTAAATCTTTTAATAAGTTTAATTGAGTAACGACTTTTTATTTATTTATTTTTGTATATGTTTTATTTTGTAGTAATTAAAATTTAGCAACTTTTTGGTTTTGGCCACCAAAATAAATGCGTTCAACGTATATGGGGGTAGAATTCAAAGGATCCTCAAACATACACCGGCACATACACATATAATTTATGCATTTCTCTTTCATCCCGGAATATTTTTTAACTGATTTACCAAAAAAAAATATGTAAAAAGAAGGGATGGAAGTGGAAAAAAGCGGGGGAAAATATGTGCGGAATTGGAGAGGCCATGTGTGCGTATGTATGTGTGTAAGTTTGTATGTGAATGTATGGAAGTGTATGTGTACAGAGTGCGCGGAATCTCTAAAATTGTGGGATGCCATCTATCTCTTTGAGTTCGACGTTTTATATGCGGTTCTAAATAAGTGTAATAAGTTCAAATAACCCGGGGTAATTGAAATGAAAATGTGCATTTTTAAGAGGCTTTTAAAATATATGACACATCTTCTGAAATATGGAAATAAAGCGGAAAAATCAATACGAGTAAGCCGAGCCGCGTCGCGACGCTCTCTGTTGTCTCATACCATCCCCTCAACCCTTCGTACCGCTGCACAAACCACCCATACCCATAGTTCACCTCATATGACCCATGCGAACTAGTCCAACTCAAAATCATCATATGGTCCGGATTTGCTACAATACACATATGTCTGTTTTCGCGATCAGCGTTATTGTTTATTTAGAATGTGGAGTTCTGGGCTCGTCCATTAGTAGGTAACTTTAGGAAGTCGCAACTTGAATACAGGCTAACGTTATGGCTGCGGCTCTGAAACCGCCGGGGACATATTATGGCGCAAAAATATCGGACCCTGCACGAGTGCAAGACTTAATGTTCTACCGTTTGCCATTAAATGTTCAACAAGGACGGAGTCCTTCCACTTCGCGAAGATCTTATCGAAACCATCCGGACTAAGGGAAAATTCCAATCACGAATTGCCAGACACCCAAAAAATCCGTCTGCTCGAATTACTTTAATAGCACTTTAAATACACACACTTTTTCTTCACAAAACGCAGAAACAATTTATATCTGGTTATTTTTCATTACTTCCTTGGATAAACATTGTAGAGTTTGGTCTTTATTGAATAAATGTATTTATTTCTGTAAATATATAAAAACTAACTTCAATGTACGCAAATATTTTGATGTCCTTGAAACATCAATTTTTGTAGCTGAGAAGACTGAACAAAGTAAGGCTATAAGTATAATACAATTTACCTTGGTAAATTCTTCTTGACCTACCTTCTATATTTGTGTTATGGTGTCTAGTAAACGTGAACTAAGTATTCAAAAACTAAATTGACTTACTTAGTATTCTCAAATGTAAATAAATCATTAGTCTTTATTTTTAGTTTTAATTAAACTCTATAATGTTGTGTCTATAGTGTAGTAGTAATACAATTTGAACGTTTGTTACGTTTTTAAGTCCAATTTTATGCGTACTAGTAGATATCCAAGAATGCTACAAATTAGGCACCAAATAAATTATTATTAATGAATTATTTTCCACAAAAATACATGAAAATTTATATAATATTTCATGAAATTAAAAAGAAAACTTTTCTAAGTAAAGATAAATATTTAGTATTGAATAAAATCAATTTAAAGTCAACATTAAAATATATTTAAAAAAAAATATTTATAAAAAAAAATTGTAAAGTATGAAAACTACCAATATTTTTTAGTGTCTTCAATTATTTTCATTTTAATAATA